GATTCACCAGAGACAGAGTGGGGAGCAGAACAGGCAGATTGATGAAGTACACTGCTGAGGGGAGCAGCGGGGGGACAGGAGAGGTCTGCTGGACCATGCGGGTCACCTCCGGGGCGGGGATTGAACTTGTGCTGAGGTGGCTGAAGCTAGCTTCACAGTACTGTGTTTTAACCTGTTGGGTCACCAGGGGGGTGCACCCCAAAACAAAGGCGTTAAAGAAGACAAATCACTAGTCATACAGTGTGTACGTGCAGTCTACGTTGGGTGTGTCTGCAAGTTCCTACTCTAAGTATGATGCCCTTCCCTTCCTGCCTAGCCCTCTATCACTTTCCGATTGAGCTAGGAAAAAACCCCAGTGTTTCTAGATATGACGCCCACGGGAGAAGTGACTGAAGACAGGGCTGGGAAAGGGGGCCATGTAGAACTTTAATCTGTGGGTGATGGAAAACAGCTAAAGATTGTAGAGTAACACAGCATTAGCATGTTGTCTCCCTACTCACGGTGAGGCACCGTATTAGGAACTTAGTTCGCTCATCAACTCTTTGAAAGATGAAAGTCTTACTTTGCAAGGGAAGAAACTTAGCCTTTAAGTACTTAATTTAAGCACAGTTGGATCTCTTTTCTATTATTTAAAGTGGTGCATATTACTAGTACATTTTTTGGAGTTCTTAGCATTGAAAATGAGGTATTTCCAGAGATCTGGGAAATTGATCAGAAGGCCACACCACAGAAACTGAGAACCTCTTACTTACCTAGAAAACAGCAGTTGCTCTTTCAAAAAACCCCAACGTGGAGGAACAGCTGGCCTCATCCAGCATCCCAAAAGATCTTTCCAGGTCCCTAGTGCTCATTACTGCTATCCCCCCTCTGTAAGAGATACTTGGTTTCAGGGGTATTGATTAAAAACTTGCAGCAGAAATAGGATTTTAACTAAGACCAAACTCACAAGAGAGAATCAAATATAGCAACTAGGATTTTCGGACAGAATTTTTTTAGAGGATGGAGGTGTGGTCTGTGCTTCCTAATTGGGATTTTGTATTCTGTGATTCTGGGGAGGGGCTCAAGATATAAAAAATGACTTGTTTGTTGAGTAGCAGAAACATTTGTTGAGTAGCAGAAACATGTACACAGTCTGGGAAAACGTTTGTTTTCTCCTTCTTCACTCCAGTTTGCCTACGGAAGGGGCTAGTCAATCCTGAAAAAATCAAGCTGAGGAGCAGGAGGATGGTGGGTGAGGAGATGGCATGTAGATAGGACACTCAAAGGCCTCCAAGCTAATCCCCAGCACAGCTAGTGATTTCCAAACCCTAAAGCAGCCGGTGCAGAAATGCTTAGGGCTGGGCCCTCCCTGGTGGCCCAACTAATTAAAGCACAGCACTATGAATCTATTGCAACCACTGCAGCACAAGTTCCAACCTGGGCCAGGGAGGTGACCCATACAGCGCTGCAGACCTCTTGTGACCGACCGCTGCTCCCCTCAGCAGTGTACTTTGTCCATCTGCCTGTTCTGCTCCCCACTGTCTCTAGTGAATCCTGTCACCTTCCCCCCTCCCCCGCACCTCTGACCTGTACCGCAGTCCTGTATGCATAAAAAATAACTCTTTTTAAAAATGCATAAGGCTGGTTCTTTTTTCTGCATAAAAATTTTCACTCCCATTATCCACTCCAGATTATTTGCGTTTTAGCACTACACAAGTATTTACACACCAACGCCCAACTCTTACACTAAGAGCTCAGGCTGATGATCTATTTAGCACTCAACCAATTCTGGAACCCCGATAATGCAAGTCTAAGGTAAGTGTTTACACGTGGGGATGTAATGGGCCATTAAAGAGACTCCAGGGAGCTCTCGGATTCTCTGGAAACACTAACACCTCAGCTGCTTAGCCCAGGGGGCGGGGCGGAGGGGTGGTTTCCTAGGAGACCGCCGGGAAGGGAGTGCGCACGCGCACAGGCGGGTCAGGCTGATGCAACCTCCGGCGCGCGGGCCGGGGTCTGCCGAGAGGAAGCCGACGGGGA